CAATATCCAAATAGGGTAGACAAGCCGGGCATTGCAGCAAATAGAGCGAAGTAGTTCCTCAAATCACAAAACGCGAGTTCTCGACCCCTTCCTTCCATCGTAAATCAATCTATCTAAGGTTTTCTGGATAGAAAGAAAGGAGTTTGAGGGTCGATGTAATTGAGAAGGTGGAATCCCAGATCGATCAAGATCAGAGCGAAATCTGTCCATTTCTTACGCCTTTCCTCTTCCGGCTTGGCTTTTATCCGACGCCTCTTCCGAAGCCTTCTTCCGACCGAGGCAAAGGTCAATTCCCGATCCCAATCCGAGCTAATCTCCTCATCTGGAATTTCCACTTCTGTCTTATGTAAAGATCTAGTCGAATTAGGTATCATTTCCTCTTATCTATTAGAGCAATCAAGATAGAGAAATCCCAAGTTAGAGTTAGGGGAGAAAGCGCGATTCTTATTGCTTAAGAGCTAAACTACGATGGGAAAGCTAGAGATTAGGAGCTCAGCTCGTTCTCGTAAAGGGGATGGCTAAACGCTAAAAGTTGTGTAAAAGTTGCTAATCTGCTCAAATGCCATATTTCTAGAATGTCGACAATTTCGATCATTTCAGGATTCCAACTAGATTAGATGTTTAGCAGCAAGGAAGAAAAGATTAGTCTTCGGACGTACTATTGGATACGTATTAGGTCTCGCCTGCTATCTTCGTCGAGGGGAAAGAAGTGGAGCGCCATGAAGCGATACATCGGAAGTTCTCCGCGCTGAAGGAGCCAGGGTATCCAAAAGGATCCATCATAATTTAGATTTGCGTTCGTTCTCTGGATAGAAATATCGGAGTCGATTTTCCATCTCTTCTCTATAGCAGGACTTGGCAATAAGTTTGCCCAGTATCGTACCTTGGGTAAACATCCAAGCGCTTCATAGCAGGCGGCGGTTTAGCAAGGTCTGAGACGTGGAAGACCAAATCTCATCTCCTTTTTTATGACTTCACTGCGCTTCGCTTCGTTCGTTGGGTAAAGATCCTTTCCCTTTCTTTGCAGGCTTGGCAACAATGTCTACGACCCTGGGTACCTCGCTTTCATCGCATTCCTAGCAGGTCGATCGAAGGAAGGACTGTTAATTCACTCCCTTTCCCAAAGCGGTTAGTTTCGTACCTTGGGTAAACTTCCAAGTGCTATCTGGTTTCCGGCTTGCTTCTAACTCCAGCGTAGAGACATATTTGAAAAAAGGGAAGCAAATCGAAAAAGTTTTGCCTTTTGCTTTTGGGTTTCGCACTTCAAAGTCCCTTTTTCTGTCTTACAGTAAATCCCGATCCAAATGGCAGTCCTAAACTCAAATAGAGGATTCGTGTACCCAATTGAGTACTCCCCTAGAAGGGGTTGACCGACCGTCTGCTTACTCTGACCTAAACAAGCTATCCAACTCAGATTGGTAGTAAATCAACTCTCTAGATGCTATTACAGCAGGCACTTCCAAAGAGTTTCCACTCTAGCTGTCCCCTCAATCCTGGGTCTAAACCCTTTTCCCATTCTATTAGATCTCAAAACCGGGAATTGGAACTTTCCTTTCGTTCTTTTAAAAGAGACTCCATTTGAATTCTCTTCTTCTATAATAGGAATGAAAGTCATTCTAGTTTTTGTGTTCTTTATCGATGTTGGTAATTCGTGTTCCGCACCGGAGGTTGTGTAGCTAGTTCCTCTTGATTTCCCAATCCGAATCATATATATAACATATGCTCGATTTCGCTCAGTCTTTCACTCTGTCTTTCCTCTCTCTAACGTCAGTCTTTCCTAAAACACAAAAGAGTTCCTGTTCCACAATGATCGAGATATATCCCAAGACTTCTCATGCCAGGCGGCGAACAGAATACCTGGGGCTGGATGCAGTAATGGTAAAAAGCTTTCGCTCTACCTGGCCTGTGAGCACGGGGAGACAGCACTTAAACTGATGTGCGGGGATAACGGGTTGCAGAGCAAACCTCTTTAGGAGAGCTCGAAAAAACCAAAGCCTTGCTTTATCTTAGCGTTCCTAGAAGGTAGGCAAAGCCACAACCCGAGGTACGAGCCGTATCCCGAAGGTAGGTCTAATACACCGGCGTGCTAAGTAGCATTAGAGGCATGAGCATTTCATTTGGTTGTGCCTGCGCTCGACGCTATACGGATCAACTTAAATTGAGAGGTGAAAGGAAGCGACGTGACATAAAAGACACTACACGTTCGCTTGACTGAATGAAAAGCAAAGAGGGGAATAATGGACGTTGCACTCGCCTGACCCGTGCATAGGGAAGACTTGGCCCAAGCCCAACCACTTTCCGAGTCTTCCCCACGTTAGTTACGCAGGTCCTGGTGGGAGTAGATGAAAGCTGGGGTTTCAGTGAAGCGGTATGAATATGCCCTCGGTCTAGTCAATTTCGGGTATAGTACCAATCATTGAAAGCAAGGAAGAAAGCCCAGTCGCTTAGCTGCTGTATTAATTAGCCAGAGGGGTCCTCAATACCATGTCGTCAACAACAAAGGAACGAATTAAAGACAGATGTACACGCGTGAGAGCAACTCGAAGAGGGGCTCCAAAGCTGATGCCTTAAAGAAAGGACTCGAAGAGGAATGCCAATGCTAAGCGGTTTAGCTCAACAAGAAGAGCAGGGATAAAGACAAGGGGTTTCACAACGAGGAACTCGGGTTAAAGCCAAAGATAAGCGGTCAAGTCAAGGGATGGTGAGATACGAGAGCCAAAGCCAAGCGGGGAGGAACTCCAAAGCAAGGGAGTAAGAGTTGGGGTTAGAGATACACGCGTGTTAACTCATATGAATCTACCGGTGGTATTGTCAACATCTGTCCTTTCGCTAGCAAGCAAAGGAGCTCAGCAATGAGAGTTCCCCACGGAGCGGTAAAATCAGAAAGAGTCTGAAACCGGTCGTGCTCCCCGACTAGGGGAGTATTTTCCAGTAAGGTCGACACAGTCAGGAAGATGCTTTCCCACCCTTTCGATCTAGTCCCACCAAGGAGAAGTTGAGATATTGAAAGGGACGAAGGTAAACAGTCCAAGTAGCGGAGCATCGGTCTCAGGCTTAGGCTTGCGGAGCACAGGCCCGGTAGTACAAGAGCGAATTCCTACCCTAGTTTCTGAGTTTCTTTCTTGGTTCGAGTCCTTGGTCGTGTAGGCAGTTGTTTAACCCTTTCCGTAGGTATCAGGTATACGCGTGTAATAGATCAATAGGTAAGCGAGTACGATAGCGAAGATTCGAAGGTAAGGAGATTAGTAGTCGAATCTTTGCTTTCGGGTTTGGGGTTTGAAATAGCCTTTCTTATTAGTCGTAGGAAAAAGACTTTCAAGTCAAGCGAGGGAGTCGTTCTTCCGATGGGTCTTGCTCATCTGCTTTCGGAGTCCTGGAAGTCGATATCGATAAGAGCGAGGTAGCAGTTCTTATATTAGGTGCTGGTAATTCCCCTGGGGCCGTCAACCAGAGAAAAGCGCTTGCTAGTTACAGTCCTTCGACGAGATAAGCAGTCAAGTCGGAAATTGCGTAGTAAAGGTCAATGCCTGGATATGGATAAAATAGGGTGTACAAGCAAGGCGTGTGGCCTGACGATGATTCACCCTAGAGCAGTCGATAAAACCCCTTTTCCTATCCAGCATCGAGGGGACAAAGACGGAAAGGGATCCGAAGTTGCAGTCCTTCGAACAGCTAAACCAGAAAGCGAGGGATCCTGTCTTCCAGTTCTTCGGGCTTATCCGATCCGGTTTGCCATTTCCAGTAGAAGCAGGAGAAAAAGTAGCCAGTCTTCCACGGGTTAGGAATTCCCATTAATATTAATAAGAGTAGAAACCCTAGTCTATTCACCTGAGGTTCAGGATTGGGGTTGATCGGCTTTAAGGAATGTTGTTCTGCTCCTGTCTTT